GCCGATGGGTTTGGTTTGGAGCACTATAATCAAACTGATGGTATCTCTAAAGATTTCAAAATCTCTTAGGGCGATAAACAGCACTTCCCTTTCAATAGAATCAAAAGCATTCCTCAGGTCGATGAAAGTAATACAAAGAGGTTATGGTTTTCAATCCTTCTTTGAAGTGAACATCTAATTGCCAAGATAGCTGGGCCCGCTGACCTATGGCTTCGGAACCCAAATTGGTAGGGTGAGATCTTGGGCAGCTGCTTCTTCACCCTATTAGCAATCACTTTTCCGATTACTTTGCCAACTTAGTCAAGAAGGAAAAAGCTCCTGTAATTGTTCGGTTCTGCCTGCTTCCTTTCTTGAACAGATTGAGTACTACTGCGTCCCTCCAAAATTGTGGAGCTTTTCCTGGATCAAGCCAGATATCAATGAAAATCTTTGTGAGAGGCTTGAGAATTTTCTTCTCGAGCAGTTTAAGAAGGTCACCGGTGATCTGACTCTCACCGGGAGTCTTCCCCGTGTTGATGTATATCAAGGCTTGTAGTACCTCTGCTCCTTTAAAAAATCCACTATCAGCACCTGGAAGTGACCTTTGAGACACCTGTAATTGAGCCGTGCCAAACAAATGGTGTTCTCCGTTACATAAAGTTTTTTTTGTTCATTTAACCAGACATTGTTTGAAAAAAGTTCATGATATGATGAACAGCAATTAAAGAAAAATTAGACAACAATTAGGTAGCCTGAACAGTTTTCAGTGTTCTATAGCTTGACACGCTTAAATAGTTTACTTCAAAAAAAATCGAAATATAATCCAAGATTATGCCAAGCTTCGCAACCCTCTGTTTTGAGGAAAAAAGTGGAAAAACTAAATCAGTTGAAATAATTTTTAGATTGGAACTTGAAGAGTCGATACTTTTTTAACGAAGTAAAAAGATTGCCAAAGGATTCTTTTATGATATCCGAAGTTTTTTTGAGCAGGTTAAACTACGCCCAAAGCAGATTCATTCAGTTGATTTCTTCAAAAACGGAGTAAAAACTATTTAGTCAATAACTTCGATTTATTCAATATTTCGAAAAAAATTGGCAGCTGGTTTGTGTTTTGTGTGGTTTCTTATGTTTTAATTTTGATATGACGTCACGCCTTTTGAACAATGTTTATATCGTAGTCTAAAAACGTCCAATATGTTAGGTTGAAAATTGAAAGTTAATTCACCGGAGTATTTTTTTGTAAAGTAATGGGGGGTTTGACCGATTTGGTTAAACTTGCTAACGTTGAATGTTGTGCTTTCTGACGCGTAAGTGTTGTTATTTTTTTGAATTTTTACCACGTTGAAACTCTCTCAGAAAAATGAACAGCACTTGCCTCTCAAAAAAATTAAAAACATTCTTTCGGCAACTAAGGAGTTTCTTAGATTTCGTGGCCTCTTGACATGTGGTTTCGGAACTCAGCCAGAACAAAAGAAGGTTTTGGTAGCTATTTGTTTACCCAGTTTAAATTCACCCAAGAGATAACTTTCCTGACTTGTTCCAATGGGAAAAAGTTCTGAAGATAGCTCGTTACTGCCTTAATTCTTTTTGGATCTAATTGAGCACCAATGCTTTCCCTAAGGTTGAGGAACATTTACTGTTCTGAGTGAAATTTTTTCAGACTCTGGATACTTTTCTCTCCTAGCAGTATATAAATAGCTCTGGTTCTGGCTCTCGCCAAGAGCTTTGCCCGCGTTTTTTTTTCTTCAAATTTTGGAGAGCGTCCGCATCTTTAGGAGATCCACCATCAGTAGCGTCTCGATTAGTGGGAACTAGCGTTTCCAAATTAATTTCCTTGGCCGGTCTGCAAAAAAACATACAGCCCATATGTTTTTAAAATTTGCCATTGCTGAATTCAACTTTAATCCGCTTTCCAGCCATCTGGAACGAGTTCTCTAAAGACTCTTTTCCAACGCCCTCCTATACATTTCTCGCGGTTGTCTGACAACATGTTTGTCTCGAAATTTTGTCGGGCGATCTCCTATATAACGTTTTGGTGTGCTCCAATTTTAAACATTGTTGTGCTTCTCTTTTTTGCAACTAACGCGTCAATTCTGTGGTTCACTGTGAACGTTTCTTTTTTTAAAAAAAATATATATAAAACAGAAGTTTTTTCTTGGGATTCCTTCTTGGGCATCTGGACATGAATATTGCACATTAACTCTTAAATGATGCCATTGAAGCTCTCAACCAAATCAGTATGTTCTATGATGCGAGGAATTTGCAACCCTCTGGAATTTTTAACACAGGTATTGATTTTAGATCGTATTCTGTGAAATTTCTTTGTAACGCGTTCTCTGGTCAAGCTTTTTTTTCAATTCCTTTCCAGAACGACTTTTAAATCTAGCTTTTTGGCGCAGAATTACGCCAAATAGGCTGCACTGATGTGAGTGGCGTCTGGTACTTCCTATCTACTTGACTCTCATATATTCGCAGAACGTTTTCCGATCGGACAACATTTGATCAAACATTATAGTGCATACTTTGGTACATTTTAAAAATCAGGTGTCGAACATAGCAAGTTTTCACAATTTAAGTTTGTTTCTTGGTCGGCAAACCCAGCTTCAGCTTTTGGTCTGACTGCGTTAAAGAGCTCCTTATTGACTTTTTCAACAACATAACCCAAATTAAGAGGAGTATGAGATTCAATTTTTTGATGCTAGGTTCTTCGGTCCTGGTGGTCGCGGACACTTTGTCTCGGTCCGCTAAGTCTGGAAATACCAAATTCTGGTCGCGGCGGTCTGAAAATATCCAATTTCGGTCGCGACAGTCTGAAAATGCCAAAAGTTGGTTGCGATCGTCTGATCATAAAACCACAACCTCGACCCGAGTAGTGCCATATTGCCTTTTCCAGGCGTTCTGATGGTTTACTCGATTTTTTATTAAACCGCTTATAAACTGCTCACTTCTTGCGTGAAAACTTGTTTAAAAACCGCCGCAAGATTTTTAAAGCAAGATTTGAGCGGTTGGGCGGCTTTTTCAAAAAAAAAACGTCCAAACGGCTCAAATCGCTCAAACATTTCCGGAAAACCGCTTAAACCGTTCAAGTCTTGAGCGGTTTTCGAGCGGGATTCGACCCGAAATGATTACCGCAAGCTGAACTGCGATAGATCAACACAACTTTTGGAAATGCTTTAGCGTCCTTTGCGACCAAAGTTTACATGGGATAAAGATCACATCTTAACTCTAATTAATTTAAGTTATTAGCGTAGTATTAAACAAAAACTGAAAACATAGTTTTTCCAGCAAGCTCTTTTATCAACAAAATTTAAGAATAGCTCATAACGTTTTTGGTTTCTTTGGTCGATGCTCAAAATTTCAACAAGATTAGCCGGTTACTCTTTAAGTGTCAGAGAACGTTGCGACCATAGTCTTAAAAAATACAACAAAGTGAACAAAAACTAGGAATGAATAAGCAAGTTTAACAGTTTTTTTTTTGATTTTTTTTGTATCCTTGAAAAGTTTGATTCTAAGAAAACGGTAAAAAATTCAAAATAAACTAACCTTGCTCAAGTAAAAATAAGTTTTTACGTTTTAAATTCAGCTATTGTATCTTTTTAAGCAAATAAAACAAGACAGCTTGCTCGGATTATTTGCTCGAAATAAAACGCAAAACCAAAAATTTCAAACCGCTTTTTCTTGAGACTGGGAAACTCTTTCACAAATTGTTAAATTGATTATAATCACTTTTAGAAGGGCTTTCATAAGATATATCACTCAACCTTGTTAGATGGTTTTTTGTGGTACCTTATTTTGCGTGGCAAACAAAAAGAAAAAAAAACAGAACACACCCTTATACAAACAAATTTTAATGGTGGGAACAATTAGCTTTAGACTATATCGAGTTATTTTTCAAGTTATTTTATTGGAAATTAATCTTTTTAAGAAATTAAAATCCTTTGAAAATATTCGAACGATTGAAGTTGGATTTTGATTTTATGACTTTTATTGCTTCTTTTTTTTCCAAACAGGCTATCCAAATGATTGAGTTTTGATTGGATTTCATGAATTGCTCTGAAAGTGATGAAAAATGTTAATTGTACCACAAAACACTCTTTAAAGGGTTTGAGAAAAAAATCAATTTTTGTGAATTACGCTTATGTCTAGACTTTGGTTTAAAATTTTTCTGAATGGTTTTTCAAATCTTCAGAACATTTTGCTGCAGATTGAGCTCATAAAGGTAATCGAAACGATGGAATCAATTTATGGTCAAATTTGATTGCCTGAATTGCTCAGCCGAGGGCGTGATGAAGTAAGTTGGTCGAACAAAAAAACTTTGAAATCGCCGAGAATAGTTTGAATTGGTTTGCTAATTGTTCAGTCTTTTTCAAAAAATAAATTGAAATGATTATAGATTATCAGACATGTTTGATCGTGAGAATTCATAGCGCTATGATTTCACTCAAAAACTGTTTTCACTCTCGCCGTAGAAGTTCTGTGTCTCAAAGTTTTGATCAGTTCCAATATTTTTTTTGTTCAATCATTTGTAGCTGGAAGAAGCTGAAAATTTGTGAAATTTTCTGGCTGCCTCAAATTCTTTTGCATTTGTTTTGCTACTCTAAAATAAAATCACATTGCGGATCTCTTTAGCCTGTGTTCAACTGTGTGCCAGTCGACTCGACTGAATTTGAGCATGTTTTGTGAGTATATTTCTGTTGTATCTTTGAGAGATTTGATTTGGAAATATACAGCATGCTAGAAATATTTATGTCATGTTAAGTTCAAAGTTTTACGATAGTTTTTGGCCCCATTAAAAATTTTTTTATCATTCATATAGCTGTGGTTGTGTCATCGCCAAAAAAAATTTAGCGTCTTTTCTCGGTCAGCGTCTTTTAATTTAAGCTCAGTTAGAGAAAATTTAAACTTTCACAACAGCGATCGAAAACTGCCAAGCTTTCATTCAAAGTGTATCGAGAAAGTTTTGAAAACTTTGAAAACTTTGAGAGCAATCAGCAATTAAAAATAAGTAAAGTGTAGTAATTTTAATTGAAATCTAATCTTTAATTAGAATTAGGTTTATTGATTTGAGTGTTCCTGTTCGGAGCTGCCACTGCCCTCCTCTACGTTGTAGTACAGCCTAGGACTGTTGTTGTCGTCCAGAGGCACAAAGGGATCGGATGACCTGGCTGAGCTTCTCTGAGTACCGGTGACCTGAAAAAATGATCAAATAAAAATAAACGGCTCTTTTCTACTCCAAAGTCCCCCCCCCCCCAGTTGGAAGTTCAATTTTGGAAACCTAAGTCATATATAATGCAATGGAACTTGACATGGTGAAAAAACTAACATTTGCATTTGTGAACAGGTTTGTTGTTCACACCTTAAATCGAAACATTACACATGAAACATTGAAATGTAACAAAAAACTAAAAAATTGAAGGGGTGGAAAAGAACCAAATAAACCTTTACCTTCTTCAAGCTCAACTGCTTCATTACAACCTTGAATTCAACCCAAATAACTAAAGCTTGTTAATTTGAGAGCTTCGACGCGACAAACAAAAAAGGAATAGTTCCGAAAA